TTACGGGGGTGGGATATGTTTTGGGAAGGAAGACATGATGTCCTCTGTTGATTGGTTTTTTGAAGATGTAAGGTTATGCTCTTACTACCAAGCTCAGGATTCTTGATTTTAAAGGTACACAGATAGTTTGAGGTATCTTATTGTAATTGATCTGTATGAGAGGTGGGTCTGAACCGTAGGGACTTCCATTGTCTTACGCTAACATAAAATAAAGAATTGAATGGCTGCAACGTATTGAGTTCTGTTACAAAAGAGTTAGGCATATTCTGGATTATATTTGGTAAAGTTTGGGTGCCTGTGAATGATTAAATACGTGTTTCTAATATTTTAGTGTTTTATATTTAGGTTATTTATTCTTTATATCTAAAAAATGAATGGCTACTGTGCTATATTGATTTTATTGGTAGTACTGAGCAGACCTTGTATCTGCATGAAACTAGTTGCAAAACCCACTATTTTGGAAAAAAAAATGTATTTTGACATATACAAATAAAATGAATACAAACTATTTTAAATGTGTGAAAGTTTTACTGAGAAGACATTGAAATTTGTTACGAATTTAAAGGATGTTATGTTTGCTATTTAAATTCTTCGGTGGGCATTTTTCATTCATTGCATTACTTGGATGCAAAGTTCAAGTACCTTTCAAAGATTGTAATCAAATTGTGATTATTTGCACATCATTGTACATGCACATCTGTAAATGCAACAGTAAAAATGCATATTTATGCAACCTGTAACAACTTGGACAAATGTTTATATATTTTACATAAACCTGTCTGTGTGCAGAATCTGAGAACCATTTTTTACGGGATCTTAACCGAATCTCACAAAGCAACTGCTAAACTTGTGTCACCGTCAAATTGTACCAATGGTGTTGCAGATCAAACGCATCCCCAGAAAACCCAGCTACCGTGGAGACAAAAACAGGTAGTGGAAGACTATTTCATTATTTAGGCTACAGTTTGCATACGAGAAATCTGTTCTTGCTGGCTGCTGACTCTGGCATGCTTCCTTAAGCAACTGACAACTTAAATAGTAATTCAAAGCAGCAACTTCTCTTTCCAGGGGACTCGTCCCAGTGCAGGAAGAGATCTTTATGTCCCAGAATTAACACCAAATACACATGGAAGTGGCTGGCGCCAGACAGCCAAGAGGCAAAGGGCATGCCCAGAGCCAGCCATAGCCTGCAGAGGAGGAGTGGCAGTGGGTGGGAAAGCAGCGCAGGCAGCAGAGCGCAGGCAGCAGAGCGCAGGCAGCAGAGCGCAGGCAGCAGAGCGCAGGCAGCAGAGCGCAGGCAGCAGAGCGCAATGGTGGCAGTGCGGCTGTGTAGGGGCTGCCTGATGTAATGGCTCCCAACCGGAGCAGTTACCCACAAGACAAGACTCTGGAGCTGGAACTTTTTTTTTTTTCCCCCACCTCATCTCCCTCATCATTAACAATTCCCTCTGGGCCTCCCCAATTCCTCCTACATACCTTTTTCAGACTCATGCTACTCCCTTGCTAGGTTCCAAGAAGAGCAGTTACAATCCATACTCCGTAAGTCAGTGCATTTGTTTGCCCAGCAGCGAGTAGAAAATGCGAGTCTCGGTGTTTCTCTCCTTGAGAAATGCCTTCCCTGCTAACTTTGGGTTGTGCTCAGATAAGTGTTAAACCACAGAGTATTTATCTTACCTGTTCAATAGTCCTAGTCACTGTCCGTTTGGTCGTCTTTTAAGAGCAAGTGTGTTGTCATAGAAGAAGTGTTCTCATTTCCTTTTATGACCATTTACCTGTCATCTCACAGAAGAGGAGAAAAGCATGCTTTTGGGGAGCTAAAGATACCTGCTTTAGGAGATGTGCGTCAAGGGAGAAATTTTCATTATTTCCTTAACCTTTATCGTTCAGAAGACTTAGCCTGAGGTTTATAGCCAAGACTAAGGGCACCACTTAATGCCAGAAACAACCGGATGACAGCAGACAGGAAATTACACCAAAAAAAGCAGGCAGCGAGAAGGAAATGTTGCCACGATGCCAGGCTTGGAAAGGCACTGCCGTGTCAGAAAGTGAACAGTTGACATGGAGAAAGAGGGGACGTGTCAGAACAAAACTGGTCGCAAGTCAGAGCTCAGGGCCCCGTTGCATCCGAGCTCCTGAGAAAAATTGTCCAAAGCTACTGACAGTATGAATTACGCCTTGCTGCTGGTTTGTAGTACTGCTCGGAGGAGGTATTTTTATTTCTTTTTAAATTAAGTGATCATGAAACTAGTCATTGCACTGACTCATGCTTGATCTGGGTGACCCTGGAGGCGGCTTGACTCCACAGCTGGCACTTTACAGTTCTTTGATGGGCATCTTGAGGTTTTACCCACCTGCGTAGCACA